AATCTGCTTATATAGCTCCTAATAATGAATATTTGGGGGCTTTCCCCATTTTGGCTACTGCAAATAAAGGACCTAGTAAACATAAACTCCTATTCTGCTGAATAAGTATAATTGTGTTGCTTAAACTTAAGACAACTTTTTGTCTGAAGCAAACCAGAAGCTGAAGGATTAGACTGATTTAGCATCTTCTTTTATGTTAAGTGAGCAAAAGGAATCGTAACTAGAAAGCCTGGCTTATTAGGTGAGACCCACCCCAACCTGCATGATACTCCAGAAACCACATTCAATGAGGAGAGACTCTTTCCTTTAAACATTAAACATAAAGGAAAGAGACTCTTTTCTTTAAACAGTATGTGCCCCAAACAGGCAGTGTTCTGTCCATTTTCTGTTTCCATAACAAAACACCTCAGGCTGGGTACTTTATAAAGAAAAGAGGTCTATTTAGCTCACAGTCTTGGAGACTCAAAGTCCAAGATCTGGAGGCCCCATCTATTCCACCTCTGTTGAAGGTTCCCTTTGTTGCACTACAACATGGCAGAGGGGCAAAAAGGGAAACAGCCACAGGCAGAGGTGGCCAAGCACATAGCATAGTCTTACTTTATAAGAACTCAACTATTATGAAAACTCACTCACTCCACAAGACCAACAACAATCGCTTCTGAGATCAACACCTTCCTAAGTACTTAATCACCTTCCACCGGGACTCATCATTTAAAAGTTCCACCACCTTTCAACACTACAACATTGAGGACCAAGTGGTCAGCACACAAACCTCTGCAGAACAAACCATATTCAAAGTATAACAGAAGGAGCAGCAATAAAGTTCACACATCTTTGTCCTGACCTCAGTCACAAGGCCTCTACTGCACACAAAAATACAGAAAAAGACATCCATACACACTTATATAATAGAGGGCTTTTCAATTACTTGCCCTTTAAGGTCTCCTCAAACAGATTCCACCTCACCAATGGATAGCTACCTGATAATTTTTGTAACTTTGGGTGCATAATTCACTCCCCTAAGCACTAATTTCCCAGTATGTGATATAGGATAATTATGGCATCTATCCTAGTGTTATTTTGAAGATTAGATCTTGTGTAGCAGGTTGGCTTAGTGCATAACACACTTAAGTACACAAATATTAGCTATTATTAATATCACTATATTTCCAAAGCTAGAGTATAGTCAGACTTTCATTTTCTATCTTCATAGCAAGGTGAAGATCAGTTTCCAAAATGAGTGTGTTCCACAATAAATTAATTCAACAAGTATTCTGTAAACTAGAGTTCATAACCAAGCAAGTTTTAGCTTAATTTTCTAAAAAACTGCAGAACATCTCAGTTGTTCATGCCAATGTACACTATTCCTGTCCCCATAGTGAAATCTAGCATATAGCATTTTCGAAGTAATGACATTTACTATTTCCCTATTACAAAAATCTCATGTCTCTGGGGTGCTAAAAAATACACTTTGGGAAATACTAGTTAAAAACAATGCTGACTATTCATATAAAACAAACAGCAGCCTCCAGAGGATGGCATATGCTCTTCCCATTTCATTCAGTTAAATATTATCTATACTTCCAATCTCAGAAGAACATTCCTAAACACTCCAAACTTAATCCTGCTATATACTCTTTGGCTCCTTAGACTTTTCTTTCATAATTCTTACTGCTATTGGTATTAGCATACTTGAAAGATTATTTGACTAATGTCTGTCACCTGTCCCACCAAACTATAAGCTTCAATTATGGTAGTGACTGTGTATTTTACTTAACCCTATATCCCCAGCATCTAGTAGACTATGGCTGGTACCAGACACTAGATGTGGAATAAATGCATGGATACAAAAATTTCACTGCAACCTTTTAAAAGCCACAATAAAAAACTAAAAAGAACTCAAATGTTTATTAACAGAAAAGTAATTAAGTAAATTCCTGTTTATATTACATTATTCACCCATTAAAAACAAAGAACTTAATCTCCATGCTCTGATACACCCACTTTGCTAAATGAGAAAGAAAACATACTTTATTGCATACACACTTAGATGTACACACTACAGATGTACATAGATGTCTAGAAACATTCACAAGAAACTTAACAGTGATTAAACCTAAACAGGACTAGGGCTGGGAACAGCAATTATCACTTTCATGTTTTTCATACTTCTCTACTGTTTCCACATTCTTCAACAATTTTGAAGTTCTTTTCTAATTAATTTTTTTAGGCTTTAAGCAACTTCAGATCAAAATAAATTATCATTTGCTTTATGCTTAGTGCAGATTCATATCCCTATTTCTTTAAAAATTTTTGAAATGATCCTCACAGCGATCCTGAGAAGAAAGTAAGACAAAATATTTTAATAACCCAGAATTATAGATTAAAAGCTATAGGGAAATTGCCTGACATAACAAAACAAATGATAGACCTGGAGCTAAAAAGATCTTTTCTCTTAGTTCAAAATTCACTACGTATCATTATCTCTCCAGTAGAGGAAACAAGGCTAACTTACAGAATTGACATTTTATTACCAAATTTAAACGTATCCCCTTTTTCACCCTTCCCAACCACCACTTGCACACTGCTGACCAATGACCACAGCGGCAGGGCCTTTTTAAAATAACTCCCGTGACAGGAGATTACAAAAGGCGATTGCTACTTTACTGTTAGATAATTTCCTCATATTAAGCTGAAACTTATCTTTCTTACTCTGACCCTTTGGTACAAATTTGTTCATTTGAAGTGCCACAACAAAATTTCTCTCTTTTTCTAGAATATATTTAAGTATGAGAATGGGTGCTTTATCTGGATATACTTACCCCCCAAAAACATCTATCATTACCCAACTTCTAATTTCAGTTAAGTCCTGACAAATCACTTGGCAGAGGAGAATAAAAGAGAAGTATCATGCACAACATTTGAGTTCTTTTCAGTTTTTTACTGTGCCTTTTAAAAGGTTGCAGTGAAATTTTTGTATCCATGCATTTATTCCACATCTAGTGTCTGGTACCAGCCACAGTCTACTAGATGCTGGGGATACAGGGTTAAATAAAATATACAATAGGTGCAACCTATTGATAATTGGCACAGTGTTGGAAAAATCTTTCCAAATATTGCTTATGATTTTCTTTCTGAAAATTTGCTCAATTTAAGTGGGAGAAAGGAGAAGTCCTTAGAGGATAATTTACTGAACTGTCTTACACTTCACCTTGTAAGTTACGAGGTAAAACTAATCACTTCTGACTTTAAAGGGAATTACCACACATTTCTTACCAGTCCTGAGGTAGAGTCAGATGGTTCTGGAAAGTCTTAGCTTTAGACACAAGATTTTTGAGCCAACTATGTATATTATTTATTAGTTCTTAGTAAAATATTTGTTCCTTAGTAAAATATTTCTTGCTATTTTTGTCAGAACTCCCAATAACAAATAATCTGGTGGTCTGACCTACTGAAAAATGAGACTTCTTCACAATTTTAAAGAGGAAAAGGAAATCAAAATCAAAATCCTTGTGACAAAACTGTAGACATCTATTTGGTATAGTGCAGCTTTTTCTTTTTTCTTTTTGGTACTGGGGATTGAACTCAGGGGAACTCATCCACTCAGCCACATCCCCAGTCCTTTTTTGTATTTAATTTAGAGACAGGGTCTCAATGAGTTGCTTAGTGCCTCACCAAGTTGCTGAGGCTGGCTTTGAACTCGGGATCCTCCTGCCTCAGCCTCCTGAGTCTCTGGAATTACAGGCTTGCACCACCACTCCTGGCTAATGCAGCTTTTTTATTCTGGTGTAACCTATTGATAATTGGCACAGTCTTGGAAAAATCTTTCCAAATACTGCTTATGATTTTTCTTCTGAAAATTTGCTCAATTTAAGTGGGAGAAAGGAGAGGTCCTTGTAGGACAATTTACTAAACTGTCTTACACTTCACCAATATGTATCACAATTTGTAATGACATATATCTTGTCTTAATTATTGCCCATATTATGCAGAAAACTCTTAAGTTCTATAAAGAGTCAATACTTGTGAATACTGCACAACCAGGAGCATAGGGCCTTGCACATGGAAGGTGCTCATTAAATATTTGTACAGTAAATGAAGAGACAGAGGAAACAAAATAAGACTACAGGTTACTATAAACAGATGACTTTGCTTTCTCACTCAACTAATTACTTACTGAACACCCATTATGATCATTTAGTTTAGCATTACAACAATCCTTCCAGATTTCTCACTTGAGACAACATTAAAGCTCAGATAAACATTAAATAACTCAAGTCTCAAACCTAATACATTTGAATTCCAGTTTAAATATCAAGTTTATCTGATGTAATGTTGGTCTCTAATATGCCCTTGTGTCGTCAATTTTGTCCTCTCCATAGGGATAAGGGTGCAGGAAGAGATAACCACAGTAAATTAGTAGTTACATACAACCCAATTTCTCTGGCTTATCGAAACAGTCTGAATTTTCTACCAGTTTACAGAAGTTCTGCTAAAGAAGTAAAAGACTTTATAAAGACCAAAGCTACCAGTTTTACACAAATCGAATAATTTGCTTATCAAAACAACCTTAAGAAAAAGAGAAATTCCCATTACGTTGGTGAGGACACTGAGGCTATTGCTTGCATAAACTTGGTGCAAATTCTGAAAGAGACACTCGTGCATAATCCTTGTTTTCCTACCCCAAACGAGAAAGATCCAGATGGGAGCGTTCAACGACTCAATTTTCTCATTGGCACCTTAGGTTTGACGAGGGTCCCGGTCCACTCTGTGCAATTAGTTAAGTGTGTCGATCGTGACAAGTATTTACGAGGAGACAACATATCCAGGTCAAACAAAGGGCGTGGGAATAACATTTTAGAAAGGGCTGCACTGCAGCCAAGACTAACCCTGGGCTGCGGTCCACACTCGCTCTCGCCAACTGCACTGATTTCCTCACTCCCCCTCCAATAAATCACTTCTTCCTGGAGTCAGAGTTAGTACAACAGGCAGGTTCCTACCTTGGTCTGGGCACTCTTATCGAACTTGTCATTTCTGAAGCTAAATGTATTCTGATGCTTCTGAGGCCTGGAACGAGCCACGTTGCCCTTCTGGGAACTCATCCCCGAAACCACAACCACTTCAAGTAGAGTGTACCTAAAAAGTTGCAGGGAAGACCAGAGAGCTTCCTCCCCAGGTGTTGACGCTTCTCTCGTGACCCGGAAGGAACTTATCCAGCCTTTCCGCCCCCAGTAGGCACACGTGACTCCCTGTGGTGGTGAAAGGACATCCTCTTGCCCTCCCAGCACTTGGTGCAGGAAACTCCACAAGGCTCAGCCTCTACCAGCGCCCCCGACCCCCCCGCCTGCGCAACCCTTGCCTCTAACCGGGTGAACAAGTCCCACTTTCTTCGAAATGAGCATTCTCCCATTGACCCGAATGCGGCAGTCCATCACGGCAGAGGGGAGGGTTTCCTCTATTCCTATTGGCTCTTCCTTTCCGCAATCCCCGCCTCCTGCCGAATCCGTTCAGCCTCTCCGGAAGTCGGCTGCGCTACCGACTCTACTGAGCGGCTTGTGATTGGTGCAAATTGGGCGAGGAAGGGCTTCGTCCCTCCCCACACCCGATCGCAGGCTGGAGCCCGGGTCAGCTTGGCACCTTCCTCCAGTCAGTGACCAACTCTTGGTGTAGCAAGGTCTCGGCTATCCCCCTCCGTTCCTATCCAGTGTCTTTCCCGCTACAAGAGCAAGCCCAGCGCCTGGCGGGCTGAGGAGGAGAAAGAAAGGAGAATTGAAGAGAAGAAAGACCTGGCTGGGACTGGGTGTTGTCTACAGTGCCAGAAAAGGAGGCGGTGGCAGCGTCTGCGACCACGGCCGCTCGGGACGTGAGGCCCGAGAGCAGCCGGCGCCGGCGGCCGCCGCTCCAGCTCCTGGAGCCGGGGCCGTTAGTCAGCAGAACGCGAGCTTGTGTGGAGAAGAGCCGGCGCGAGGCGAGACTCGGGGCTCCCTCAGACCCCGCGGTCCTTCGTCCCGGCTCCGGGGACTGCAGCCCTCGTGCCCCCTCCTCGCCTGGGCCCGTCCGCGGACTGCGAGAGTCCGGTGGCCGGAGCGCGGGTCGCGCCTCGTGGAGGACAACGCGTCGCAGACGTTCTCTCCCGACCCCCTCTGCTCGGCATCTCGGCCGTGGCCGCCTCTGTGCAGGTGCGTGGGGCCGCTGATGGGACGCGCTGCGGCTGCGGCCGGGCTCGGGGAGGGGGCGCTAGGCCGGGAGCCGCAGCGCGGGAGGGACGGGCCGGGGCCTGCGGGGGAGGGGAGCGGGAGGCGTCTTTGTTGTTGGCGACCGAGATGCCTCTCCGCGCCGGCAAAGGCCGGAGACCTACTCCCGGTCGGGTCGGTGTATTGAAGAGGACTCTGGTGTATTGGTGAAGGGGTAGGTGGGAGGGTCCTTGCGTTCCGCGGAGCTGCTGGAGTCTAGGGGTGAGGGAGAGACGGACGCCCTGGGAAGGTCTTGGGTCCTTCCCAGCGGGGAAGGGTCTTGTTTCACTTCCTTTGCTTTTCTCCCAGTGGACCGAAAGATGGGGTCGGGTTTACATTCCTCTCCTTCGCTCTCTGAGATTCGCCGGTGCTTAGCAGCTTTCTACTCAAGGTCCTCATCGTGCCAGCCTCGATTTTAGATTGAATCTGCGCCGAGCTTGGTGATTTGTGTATTCTGGCCGGGCCGTCGCAGGGTTCTTCTTTAGATAGTTGAACTTTCATCTGCTCTAGGATATGCTCATCAGGGATCAACTTTGAATTGGAAAATTAAGAGTTTGGGTTTGAAATTTTATTTTACCCCTGAAACAAAGTTGTGGATTGTATTGTGTGGAGGATGTTCGTAGAGAGGCTCTAAACTCGGCTTCTTGGTTTTTTTTTAAATGTTGATCCAGTGTGAGATTTCTGCCTTTCTTTGAACATGATGCTTTAAATCAGTGTAAGGTACATTAGGTAATCAAAGGGTGAATAACGGAATATAGAGAGGGTGACCTTTAAATTTTAGCTATTTAGTTTCTGAAAGGTATTCCTCTAACACTTGCTGTATAATGCTTGATCCATAAGATGATTCATTGGCTTTTTTAAGTATTCGGTAAATAGGATTTTGGATGTCTTGTGTCAGCATTTGAAACTACTACGTTTGGACTCTAAAGTTAGAACATGTAATAAAATTAATATGTTTACGTTGACAGGAAGGTTTGCAATAATGGACTTTTCTCCATTAAGAATTAGTCTCTTCGTATGTTTATCTTAGGAACTCGGGTAATAGTCACAAACAAGACATTATTTTGATAATTACCAGGATTGCTAGTACTCAGTAATCTAAGACTGCCTAATTTCATGCTTGTTGGAGAAATTTTTTTGGAAGAAGTGGTAGTGGCCTTACTTAATGAGCAGCGAAGTTGTGTTAAACTTCTAAAGATACAAATTCTTTTTTGTGTCATAATTGATATCTTATTTGAGATCCAGGAGGAAGTGAAAAGCTCTCTCACCCACATTTTGTCCTCTCTTTTCTCGTACTCTAGCATTAATAAGGTTAATTGGCAAGGATAGGATTAGATTTTCAGCAATCTAGGTGGTTTTAATTTTGTCTCTTGGTGTTCAGTCCTCTAGTTGATATGTGTTTTGTTTCCTTGAGTATCTTTGCCCATTTTGAAATGTGTATGAAATGATAGTTGACAAAGAATGTTTTATTTCGTGGGACAATAACTATACAGCATCCTAACAATTTTTTTTTTTTAAGTTAGCTTTGTGAACACAAAACTAGGCAAGTGGTATCTGTTCCAAGTTCTGTTACTGAATTGGTATACAACTCCAGGCAGTGTTATCTCACATCTGAGTCAGTTTCTCCATCTGTAATATAGAGCTAATAAAATGTGCCACCTGCTCACTTTATAGAAAAGGCAGTGAGAATTTATAAGCAACAGTTACTCTAAGTGTGCGACATTATATTCTGTTTAAAATTACCAACTGATAAACTCAAAATTTCTTCCATGTTAGTATTGGTGTCATATCCTTAGAATCAGTGATAACAAAAAAATAGTTCATTGACTTGATTGGTTTATTGCTGGTAGATTTTATTTCTTGTCTAACCAAGGTTTTTCTTTTAATTCTCAGAATTACTCCCACTTTTCCTACTCTCACATACATTGCACTATTTGTCTCTGAAACCCAATCTTCTGAGGTGGAGTGGAAAAGTAGTTTTATGGCTTTTTTAAATTTTATTTTTTAGAGGTGAAACGAGTAAAAACTAAAGAAAAGAATTACTTGAATTACCTAAAGCTAAACAATTAATGAGATGCAGAATTGAGACTTGAATGTGTGTCTTCTGACCTCTAGTCCTGAATGCTACTCTTTAGAGCAGTGTTTTCCCAACACATATAGGCCCAACATTTTCAGTCCAGGTGAACTGAGAAATAATATAGCAATATAACTATTGATGACCCACAATATAACGATTCTCCATTTACCTATGACTCAATTGAAGAAATAAAGCTACAAATCAAAATGAGACAATTTACCTTGTAAATCCTCTTAAATTCTATTCTCTTCACCCCAGCCACTAACTTAATTAACATCCATCCTTCCTATCTGCTTGTTTATACTTAACTATCTACTTTTATATTCCAGAACACTACTTTTGTTTTTGATTGTTTTAAAATGATTTAGGTTGAGTGTGGTGGTGTACGCCTATAGTTTCAGCATTCAGGAGGCTAAGGCAGAAAATCAGTTAAGGATTTTGACCAGCCTGGATAACATAGATCCAATCTCAAAACAACAACAACAAAAACTATTTAAATATAATGTTTATATCTTTATGTAGTTTGCTTTTTTGTCATTAGGCCAGGATTTATTTGTTTATTCAGATAGCTCTAGTATATTTTTATTGCTAATACGGTATGTACTCCATTATGTGACTATACCAGCTTTCTGTAGTTGATCATTTTAGTTGCTTCTCAATTGTTTGCTATTCAAGAATTAAGGAATATTCTTGTATACAGTCATGTACCACATAATATTTTGGTCAATAATGGACCGCAAACACAATAGTGATCTCATAAAATTGAATCACCTAGTGACATCTTAGCCATGTTTTAAGTATATGCTGACATTCTCACAACAATGAAATTACCTAATAACACTTTTCCCAAACTATCTCTTTATATTTTTGATCCTACATCTAATTTTATCAAGTATTTTTAGTTATAGATGGACACAATACCTTTTGTTTATTTTTTTTTATGTGGTGCTGGGTCTCAAACCCAGTCTCTCAAGTGTTATACCGACAATGTCCTCTCTAACATATAAGCAGTTAATTACAATACATTAATATGTATTTCACTGTACAAATGCTTCATTCAGTTCAACTATACTTAAGTTTTAGCTGTGTGATGCTAAAACCTGACAGCCTGTTAGAAAAGTAGAATCTCAGATCCTATGCTGCTGATTCAGGTGCTGTAGGTTAATAAGATTGTCAGGTCATTTGTGTATGCATTAAATTAGAAGCACTACTAGAAGAAGTTTTGGGTACTTTGCATCAATGGATAGTAACACTGTCAATACAACAGCTACCAGTGCATATTTTAGTTGTTATATTGAAATGGGCATTCAGATACCAAAAGCAGCACTGTTGGTGAAAAATGATTTTCTAAAACTATTTTCAGTAAAGTTGAATCAAAGAAAGTGAATCTTTTTAACACAGTAGTTGAATTCTTTAAAATCATCACCTGTATTAAAGCAATGTTGGTTGCAAGTCCTGTTGAGAAATATCTGACTTTAGGGTTCTTGTTGTTTTTCCTCTCCTTCAACCCCTCTCTGAAAGTCTGTAGAATAGTTAAAAGTCATAGGACACAGAGCAGCATTATCTTTATGCAAGAAGAGTGCCTGGCTCTTTGACTTCTAATTTTGTAGCACCCCTATTCATTAAAACAACCAGAAAGCTGTAATTGAGAAAGATGACTCTGGAATATAAATCTGGTAGTCGTCTGTTAGACACCGGGTATGAGCTTATTCCACTTTTTAAGATAACTGCCAGTTTTCTCTCCAAAGTGATTGTGGACGAGAGATGTGTTCTCTGCCTTACAAATACTTGAGGCCTAACTTTTGCCATTCTAAGGAGTATGAAATGGCACATAGTGGCAGTTTTTATTTGCATCACCCAATAACTTGTGTAG